CTAGACTGAGGAACAGCTTCTACCCTGAGGCTGTTAGACTCATGAATCTCTAACTAGAATAATCACTGTGAAAAACCATATCATGTTGCTGCTGATCTGTTTCATGTTGCTGCTGATCTGTTTCATTGTTGATGTGTTCATGCGTGCACATCTGCTCACAGACTCATGTTCATGTTTGTGCTGATGTTCAATGTTTTATGTTATGAGTGCTTAGTTTATATTTAGTTGATGTTTTTCTTAGTTCATATCTTAGATGTCATTACTGTTTTTCTTATACATTTTATTGTTGGATGTAACTGGGACCCTGTGTACATAATTTCGCTCCACCACATGTACCACATGAGGTGCGAATGACAATAAAGAAACTCTGACTCTGACTCTGACTCTGATCTGCAGACACATGTCTTGGACACTTGGGTGAAGAGAGGGGCTGAACTGTCCAATGACCACTACCTGGCTGTGAGTTGGCTCCGATGGTGGGGGAGGATGCTGGTCAGACCTGGCAGACCCAAACGTGTTGTGAGGGTTTGCTGGGAACATCTGGCAGAGTCTCCTGTGAGACGGAGTTTTAACTCTCACCTCCGGGAGAACTTCGAACGTGTTCCGGGGGAGGTGGGGGACATGGAGTCAAAGTGGGCCATGTTCCGTGCCTCTATTGTCGAGGAGGCTTGACGGAGCTGCGGCCGCAAGGTTGTCGGTGCCTGTCGTGGCAGCAACCCTCGAACCCGGTGGTGGACACCGTCGGTGAGGGATGCTGTCAGGCTGAAGAAGGAGTCCTATCGGGCCTTTTGGCCTGTGGGACCCCGGAAGCAGCTTATGGGTACCGGCAGTCCAAGCGACATGCAACTCGGGTGGTCGCTGAAGCAAAAACTCGGGCATAGGAGGAGTTTGGAGAGGCCATGGAGAATGACTTCCGCATGGCTTCGATGCGATTCTGGTCCGCAATCCGGCATCTCAGGGGGGAAACCAGTACGCCACCAACACTATTTATAATGGGAGTGGTGCGCTGCTGACCTCAACACGGGATGTCGTGGGTCGGTGGGCAGAATACTTTGAAGACCTTCTCAATCCCACCGACACGTCTTCTACTGAGGAAACGGAGCCTGGGGACTCTGGGTCGGGCCCTCCAATCTCTGGTGCTGAGGTCACCAAGGTGGTTAAAAAGCTCCTCTGTGGCAGGGCCACAGGGGTGGATGAGATTCGCCCGGAGTTTCTTAAGGCTCTGGATGTTGTAGGGTTGTGTTGGCTTACGCGACTCTGCAATATTGCTTGGACATCGGGGGAAGTTCCCCATGATTGGCAGATCGAGGTGGTGGTCCCCCTATTCAAAAAGAGGGACCATAGAGTGTGTTCCAACTACAGGGGGATCACGCTGTTAAGCCTCCCTGGTAAGGTCTATTCGAGGGTTCTGGAGGGTCCGTCGGATAGTCAAACCTCAGATTCAGGAGGAGCAGTGCAGTTTTCGTCCTGGTCGTGGAACACTGGACCAGCTCTACACTCTCAGCAGGGTGCGTGGAAGTTTGCCCAACCGGTCTACATGTGCTTTGTGGACTTGGAGAAGACGTTCGACCGTGTCACTCGGAGAACCCTGTGGGGGGTACTCTTGAGCCTGGTATCCACAGGTCTGGTTCTTGATGTAGCCTGTTGTGTCCGGTTCTAGTGGGACCTCTATTTTTGTGTCTCCACTTTGCCTATAGTTCCCGTTTAGTGGGCGTATTGTTCACCTCTAGTGGGCGGATTATTAATATCAACGCACCTTACCAGCTGGTGGCGGTAGTGCTACATTAAGCTCTTTTCTAAGCACCACTAACATGTATTAGAAGAAGAGCTGGAAAACAACACACAACCAAAATGGATGACCTCCGTGAACTTGGAACAGAACCAGCCGCACAGCCCGTCCTGGTCTCTGTCCCACAAGATGGAGAGCAGGGCCGAGGTGTCAGAGATGCTCTGATGGAGTACCTCATGAGCTGTAACTTATCCTAATTCCACCCCTTAATCTTTTTTTACCTCCCCAGCCTTCCTTAGATACAAGTGAACGTTAAAGTGTTGATTTGAAAATAAACATGGATTAATAATTATTCTTGTTTGTTTAATGTACAGACATGCCTTATTACCAGGTTCGTGTAAAAATGGCAAAACAAACACTGCTGCTGTGCTTCTATCACATATGCTGCGTTTTTTAGTGGCTGTAGTTTTAGAAAAACTGTATACTCCTTAATTTTTGTTTTTAACAAAGAACCAAAACCTACAACAAGAACTTTATATTTGTTTATGCATATATACATTCATCTA